CTCATATCCAAGCATTTTCAGTTCGACGTTAGTTATCGAAGAGCATGGTATGCTAGGGAGAAAGCCATAGCTGAAGTATTTGGAGATTGGGAGAGTTCTTATGGCAGACTTCCGCACTTCATGGAAGCACTCAAACAGTCAAACCCGGGAACTGTTGTTGTATGGAAACACAAAGCTCTGGTAGTCGGTGTTTATTACAGCAACATGAAAGTGTTTGAACGAGTATTTTAGGCCTTCGGCCCTTGTGTTGAAGGTTTTAAACATTGTATGTCTGTCATCTGTATCGATGGGACGCATTTGTACGGGAAATTTAAAAGAACATTATTGGTTGCTACAAGTGTGGATGCAAACTTCCAAGTATTTCCGCTTGCATTTGCTTAAGTCGAAGGGGAAAACACTTCCAGCTGGCCTTGGTTTTTGGGCTGCATTCGGGTTCATGTCACTCAACGAGATGGCCTCTGTGTTATATCTGATCGACATGCTGAGATCATTGCAGCAATGAATGACCTTAACGTTGGATTCACCGAGCCGCGAGCCTATCACAGGTTTTGTGTTCGGCACTTGGCTTCTAACTTGAAGACTCACGTGCGAAGAAACGACATGAGAGATATGTTCAAGGTTGCTGCGTACTAAAGGTAGGAAAGAAAACTGCAAGCTGATTTGAGTTTGATCGGTCAGGCATGTACCAAGGCCATACAGTATATTGTCCAAGTGCCCTTGCCTATGTGGTCTTTGTTTCACGACGCTGGTCGCAGATATGGGATATGTACTACGAACTTCTCAGAAACATTTAACAATGTGTTGAAGGGTGCTCGATTTCTACCTATCATGTCCCTTTTTGAGTTAACATTCCACAGAGTGAATAAGTATTTCACTGATAGAAGGGAATTATCTAAGGCTAGATCTGAACAGGGACTTGCATACCCCCCCAAAGTCACTTCCACTATGGAGAAAAACATAGCAAAGGCTAGATATCACAAAGTGGAAGCGTATAACCGTCGACTGCATATATATCAAGTTGAAACAAAGAGGGGAGATAGAATTGGTAGAAAAGGAGGCCATAAACATACTGTTAACTTTCAGTTAAGAACGTGTACATGCAATAAACCACGGATCTTCCACCTCCCATGTTCTCATGTTCTAGCAGTTTGTGCGAAGTATTCGATATCAGAGCGGCCATGGGTGGACCGGGTACTGCAATCGGAGGCTTATGCAAACACATACGCTCCCCAATTCTGGCCTATCCATTGTGAGACGGCATGGAGAGAGTATGGAGGCCCTAAACTCATTCCCGGCAACATCATGGTACGAGGACAAGGTCGCCCTAAGTCAAGGCGCATACGCAATGAAATGGATGAGACCAACCGTCCCGCGAGCAAATGCAACCTTTGTCACCAGCAGGGTCACAACAAGAGATCGTGTCCATCTAGATCGACCGGGCACTAAGATTTTTTTTTTTATCTAGAATGATGTAGTAGAATAGTACGGTGATTGTATTTCTACATTTCAAATGATTGTAACAATTGGAGTATTTTTACATTGAAGTATGAGATTTGAAATTCTGTATTTTGTTATCGCTTGTCTGTAATTGTTACTTTTTAATTGTTGGATTATAACTGTTAATGAACAGATACCATGGACACCCGAGATAGCACACCCGGACCCACCGACCCTTCTGTCCTTACACTACAGGACACACATCGTAGCGTTGACATTTGGACTCAGTCAGTTGATCCGGCGGGCATACTGACATGCAGGCACTACACTGTCGCGTTCCTTGGGGATTGGGTTATCGATCCCCGCATTCTACCTTTCGTGGAGTACGCTGGCTTCATGGGTATACATCGGATGGCGTTCAGAAAGGTCGACCCAGCGCTTGTTACTGCGCTTGTGGAGAGATGGAGACAGGAGACACACTCCTTCCATCTACCTGTTGGGGAGGCGACCGTGACGTTGCGAGACGTGGCGATACTCACACGGCTTCCCATTCATGGGAGTCCGGTGTTTGGATCTGCGTTGGCCGATCCCCCCGGTTATGTAGCTCAGGTTCTCGGGGTTCAGCCAGGCCCGAACGATATCAGGGGCGGCGGATTGAGGACCGACTAGATACGCGACACTTTTCGTGTGTTGCCAGATGGTGCTGATGAGGCCACTGTTGAGAGACATGCTCGAGCGTACCTTTTTCTGCTCATCTCGGGTGTGTTGTTCGGTGGCAAGAGTGGCAGCCATTTACAGATCATTTACTTGTAGCTGTTAGACCACGACTGGGAGCATATTCGTGGCTACAGCTGGGGCAATGCTTGTCTGGCGATGTTGTATCGCCATCTGTGTAGAGCATCCCGTCGGGGTTCTCGTGAGATCAGCGGTCCGTTATTTTTGCTTCAGGTAACCTACCTATCTGTTAACAATTTAATTCAGAAAGTTCTTACTTAGTTTACAATTAACCTAGTTTTGTGTGTTTGATGTCCAGTATTGGTCTTGGGAGCACATCCATGTAGGCAGGCCAGGTAGGTCTGCTATACATCGTCAGGGGCAGCAAGATCAAGACCAGCAGTATGAGAGGTACATTCCTCCACCACGCCCTTCCGCTGACGAGGCGTACGGTTGTAGATGGGCGGTCCCCAGACTGACATATGCGCATGCGGCGAGGGGCGTTCCGTACTACCGAGACGCCCTTGACCGACTCACCGAGTATCAGGTGATAACTTTAATTTATTTTGTAAACAGTTATTTATTATGTATACTCTTAACATATTTAATATGCACTAACCTGTTTACTATATTACTTTGTATGTGTTATCGCAGATGACATGGGACCCGTATGAAGCTGATTTAGTTGCTGTCATGCCTCCACATCTGCTAGATCATCAGGCGCAGTGGCGTTCTAGGGTCCCCCTGATCTGTTTTGAGGTTGTGGAGAGTCACCTACCGGATCGAGTCATGCGACAGTTTGGACTACGCCAGCCTGTCCCCCAGTAGTGTGACACTAGTGCCCGGCTGCACCGCATTGACCGTCGGGGAAAGAGCGACAGGAACTGGCGGATGGAGCATGCCCAGTACATTGACTTGTGGCATCGACGGTTAGAGATCGTCGTCACTGGTGACCCCATCCACGGCGTTATGGATCCATACGATCCATACATGGAGTGGTACATGCGGATTACACGACGTTTCATCAACCCCAGCTACACGCCGCCATCCGCACATTACCATCCATCCTTTGACGTGATCAGGGGATATGTAAGTGTATTTAATTTACTTATTTTCATCAATTTTTAATTTGTATATCATTCAACTAACTCATCCATAATTACTGCAGGCGTTGGATATGACGGTGATGGTTGACGCACTGTCGGACGTCCTTCCAGGCATACTTGAGCCGCCCAGAGCACAGGTCGAGCGGGTGCGAGATATGGGCATGGCTACCTTGCAGAGATATGGTCACTCCTATCTCGTCCACTCCCGGGACAATCATGGCGGCCACTCTAGTCACTCACAGTTCGAGGCTGGCCAGAGTAGTTGTGGGGGTGATCCTGCGTCATTCACAGGCGCAGAGGAGTACATCATTCGCAGTTCCGCGCCCCTACGTCATCCTGATGACCCATCGTCCAGCCAGCTGACTCCGCCAGTACGCCCGAACCCATTTACCACGGTCCGTCACTACAGTCGTCGTCTCAGGCCGAGAGGCAACATCCATGATAGAGAGCCGTTACACCAAATTGATGAGTCAGAATAGGATAGAATTATCTGATTTATTTGCTGTAATGACCTTCTCTAGTTTGTTGTACATAACACTTACATTACATTATTATTTTAATAATTGGGTTTTGAATGAATTTATGTCTTGTTTGAACTTCAAATTCCTTATTTGTGCATATTTGACTCATTTCATTCAAAATAAATTGTTATGGCCTGGTTTGTAAGTTGTTGGGTGCTTTGAAGTGGCTACGGAAGATTGAAATCGCCGGTGGAGGGTGTTGGTCGATGGGCGGTGGTGTGGTGGTGGTGTCGAGAGGCGTTGGAGGGCGGTGTGGATGGTGAAGTGGTGATGGTGGAAGCCGATGGGGATGGGAGGTGGTGGTTGATTGTGGTGGTGGAGGAGGAGGAGGGTAGTGGTGGTGGAGGAGGGTGGTGGAGGTGGTGGATGTGGAGGAGGAGGGTGGTGGAGGTGGAGGAGGGTGGTGGATGTGGAGGGTGGCTCTTGGGGCTGCTGCTGTTGGGGCTGTTGTTGCTGCTGTTGGGACTGTTGTGAGCAGATAAAACGCTGACAGAGGCAGCGTTTTATACTAAGGAATAAAACGCTGCCTCAGTCAGTGATTTTTTGCTGTTAGCCTTTCACAAAAAACGCTGACTGAGGCAGCGTTTTTGTGTATTTCCAGTTTTTTTTTTTTTTAAATTTGTATTTCACAAAATATGAATTTTTTTTTAAAAAAAATAATAACAGGAATAAAACGCTGACCGAGTCAGCGTTTTACCTCAGAAGCTCAGTTTTGTAAATAGTTTGGCCACGCGTCTAGATTGGTAAATTGTTTTTGTATTAAGCTTACTTTCGTAAAAAATCCCAGTATTTGAGAAGCATGTGTTCCTCAAGGCTATATTCCGTATATAATAATAGATTCAACCAAATAAGCTTGGTGAAGATGGCGGGGAACTCTCTTTATAACTTTGAGGAAACAAGTTCAAGTAGAAAATCAGCATTGTGATTGGCTTATGTTTGTTGTACAGCATGAAAATGACCGCATTCATCTTTCTTAACATATGTAGATCTAGTTTCACATAAAACCTTTTAGTCAGACACATAGATTTTATGCAAACTTAGTGTCGCATATACACTGGAGTTTGATGTACTTAGACTGATCATCAGTGATTGAAGATTAGAAGACATTATGATTTTTGCTCCAGAATTTTCTGTTGCAAATGAGGTTCTGTTAAAGCCATATTTGAAAGAAAGAAAGAACTCAAGAAGTAAAATAGTTCAGCACCTGATGTTCAAACTTAAATAGCGCAATAAGGCATTCCAACAGCCGTTTATGAGAAAGGTGAAGAGCTAAGTTACCAATATGTTATTCAAATTCCCTCCAAAAAGCATCCAATTACAAGCAACAGCTTAATTACATCAAATGTGTTGTATATATTGACATATTTTAAGGGTGTTGTAACTCATATGGCCTGAGGGCTGCTCATCTCAGAGCGTGGTTATAATCATGATAGTGGAAATTCTTGTATATGAAATGAGACAACCATTTTGACACTGAAAAACATAACAATGCTGCCAATAATAGAGCACTTCTCTGAAAAGTGGTTAATGCTCCCTGCTTGGTCACTCCAGCAACCCCAATTAGAGCAATAGACGTGATTTGAAGCAGAGTTTCAACAATATTGAGCCCCTTATATGCAGAACTACAGCTGGTGCAGTTCACCACATGAGTCCAGTACCTGAAACATTTTCAGCAACTATATCTATTAAACTGTTAAAGACAGCCTAGGCACCTCGGATTGATTTCAGTGACTGCTAGCAAGATGACAAATATGAATTTGGCATGAGGCCCAATTCAACCACCGTGCGGAGGGGAGAGACTAACAAAAGGCAAATAAGGATTTTCAAGGCTGATATTTTGCATACGTCAAGCATAAATCTGCCAGCACCAAAACTTTCAAGCTATGGCTTAGCAAGCTGGTGCTCATGCAATTATCCAAGGTATACAACACAGACAAGGTGTTTCAAGGTAAAATATGACAGAGTAGATTACCAAAGACCTTCACATGTCATAATTGACTATTTTTTTCAGGATTTATAAGAAGCCAAAACCTTACTGAGAGGGGACAGGGCAAGTGTAACTAATAAAGGTCATATGTTTTAAGTGTTTAACACACTCGAAGCGACTACTCACCTATCCATAAGCTGCTCACGAGGAGGTGTTGGAGGGAGTGATCCATCAAATTTCAGTCTCCAATCAACTTGACCTCCAGAGTACTTCTTCAGCCATTTTCTGAAGGCAACTACAAGGGCATCTGATTTGGTAGGAACAAAGCAGGCTTTCTGCCAATTGGTAGGTCCAATTTCCATTATCTTGTGCTCCTGCAGGAAAAGAATCAGACAGTTGAAAAAATTTCCTAAGAGAGCATTTCTGGAAAGATTTCTTAAGAGAGCACTACTTTGTGAAACATATTAATGCAGGAAAAGATTTCCTAAAAGATTTATGCAGGTTACATACAAAACACTAAAACAGACTCAACTTTGTGAAACTGTAATGTTAGTGTCATAAAATGTTTTACCCTCCTCCAATAGGATAGGTGGGTAGATGGGAGAAAAGCACTGCAAAAATATTGATTCAGAGCATTCTTTTAATTTGCATGCCACAATGTTTATCTAGCAAATAAATGACATTTCAACATGTCCAAGAAGCACAACTTTATTTCAACATATCATTTAGGCAAGGAAGAAAAATTACCTCCACGTGCAAAAGATACAAGTCTGAATCCAGTATAAGATTTTGCCCTATATGAAACACCCATCTAGGCACAATCTGATCAATCCAGACTGCAAAGTTCCGAGGGAATGCCCATATTAATCGACTTTTTCCAGGACTGACAGGAATGCAGAAAAAAATCAAGAGAAATATTCTCTGCTTCTCTTCTGACTTCTGGAGAATTGAAAATGGCAAAATACACTTCAACAGAAAAACCATAGAAGAATGAAGCATATAAATCCAACTGTGATTCTGCAGTCAGTGAGGCTTAGGGAGATTTATATATTCATCTTTCCAGCTTAACTAGTTTAGGCCCCTTAGGGTAAAGGCAGGTCAAGAGGCTGATTCATACTGACACTATGTTTTAGTCCACGTAATGAATGACAAATAAATAATCGTATACACATAAATAGATAGAGTGGTTTTAAAATTGAGCTTTAATTTATGTGTGTGGTGAAAGATGGCTTCAGGCCTTTGAACATCCAATTTTTCTTTTGTCATGAATAACAAATAAGGTTTTGCTACTTTTAACTGCTTATCCATAGCCCTAGCAATACATTTAGCACAACCTAAGTTAAGATGTACTCCGCAGCACTATATGAAAATCCATTTCTTTGTGATTAAAGTATAAAGAAACTTGTCAGCTGCAAAACTCTAACAATCAGTGCTACAACAACTGATTACCATTTCAGGATTGGATAATGATTCGCCTTGATTTGTTGTTGACTTTGGAAGAACAAAAAAGACACACGGTGGAATAAACTTGCTGATGCCATTCTCTTGCTGAGCATGGAATCCAGTTTTGTTAAGTTCGAGAACATTGATCTCCAAAGGTTTCCCGCCTTCTCTATCTGCTTTGGGTGTGAAAATAAGCTTGAATGTGAATACCTGAAGCTACATACAGAGGTATAGGAATATAGCTAAACATATAGGTGATGCATAGATGTTCTTATCTGTTTTTGTCAGTTGGAATTCGCATTATTCCATAATGTGCATAAGGAACATGAGCAGGATCCATAAGGTTTTCAACCAAAACCTCATATCTGAAAAGGCAGCCACAACATAAATCAGCACCATTAATTTAAATGCTCTACGTGACACGAATTGGCATAACGCAATTATACATACCCGTAAGAAATATCCCTAGTTCCCATGGACTTGGCGTATGATGGATCATCAAGTTCTGCAATATAAGGAGGCTGTTTCTTTGTAAGAATGTTTTTATACTGTGGTTCACTATTTGGCCAAAACCAAAGAATATCATTTTGGACTGTACAAGGGTAAGATGCTACACATGCTTTCTTGGAACTGTGAACCTGTAAAAATTTTATAGCAATCAACAAATTACTCGTACTAATATTGCTACATACATAATTCATCAATAAAAAGTGCAAAAATAATAATAATAACGATTACGAGTAATTAAGTGTAAGAAAGTTCACCGGAGGGCCGTCGGAAGGAGCTTGAGGGATGAGGTTGCACTGGCCAGAACCATTAAAACACCAACCATGATAAACACACTGCAATCTTCCCCATTGATCAATTCTGCCTTGAGACAAAGGAGCCAACCTATGTGGGCAACAATCGTCAAACACATTCCAGGTTTTGTGATTTGGGTCCCACCAAACTACCAAATCAAGACCAATCACTCTCTTTCCATGTGGGACCCTCTTATCAAGGTCACATACAGGGGCTACTGCATACCACTCTGAATACCAATCGAATTTACCTTCTTCTGCATCATCTCTTTTCTGATTCTGAAATTCAACTGGGTTCTTGCCTTCTTCTTCTTCAATTGCTGGTGTTACAGAGATTGAAGAAGGTGGTGTGGCGCTGTAAAGCTTGAATCTTGATGATGAATCACTCAAATTTGGTAATGAAACCTTCAATTTTGATAATGATGCTGGGATTCCGAATTGGGTTTGGTTCACGACACCTGTGGTTACCAAATTAAGGGCAGAAGCCATGGAGGAGACAGGAGAGAGAAACTGTAACCTCCAAATCCCAAGTTTTCAAGAATTCATTAATTTAAATTAAAATCAAATAGATACGCACCTTCTTCAACTCTTGTTGCTTGTCTGCTTTGCCTCCACCCATTTTCAGTGCACACAGGCCACTCAATTACACGTTTCAAGGGTTTTTTTTTTTTTTTTTTTTAAAGGTTTATTTTTTAAAAACAAGAAACTTCATTAGTGAACTGATCAAGTTATTCGAGTATACTATTTTTTTTTTTTTATAAATAAGAAACTTTGACAATTTTTCACTAACTGAACTGATTTTACTAATACAGTAACACATTATATTAATTGTTTAACAAACAACAGTCAAGGTGATCAATACAAGTTATACAATTAGATTCCATTAGTGTGATGCTCTGTTTTGCTGAATTTGTTTAAACTTTTATGACAAGTATTGTTTCATTCTGCTCTGCTAACTCCCTAATTGCGGAATGCTTACACTGCTTAATTCAAAAAACATTATACATGGAGTGTCAGCCTCCAAGAAAAATACTAACTTAAGATGGAAAATACAACTTCATCTTCGCACTTACACAAAAAGACTCACTTTACTAAATGAAAATATGCATCTATTCAAAATTCATTTAGCTTTACAGAAGATTGCATGGGTTAAACAATTAATTGTAATGATTGCTCACTGAAGTTCAATCTTGTTACGGAGTAAAATAAGCATGTCAAACTCCAAGACACCAGACTTCCTTGACTAAAAAAGACTACAAAAAGTCAGAAGTCCTAGCCAAAATTCAGCTTCTTCAACTAAGGAAGTTCTTGAATTTCATTGTGCTCCTCCGCTACTATCTGTTGCCCCGATCTGAAGGCAAAACTTGAGGGAGGTCTATCTACAGAAAGTGTACCTTCCAACACCTTTACAACTTCACCAATTGAAGGTCGTAAAAATGGTTGAGTTTGCACACACCAAAGAGCTATTCTTACTACTCTTTCAACGCTCTCATACCCCTCCCGTCCTTCCAATCTTTGTGTTTCCACTATCTCGCTGATCAAATGGTTAACATCTTCATTTAGTGGAGGATCTCTCTTGACCCTTGCAATCTGAAGCAACATATGTCCAAACTTGTATATGTCCCTCTCAGATGCTGACTCTGACGAAGAGCTTGCTTCCTCCTGAAAAATGCCCTGAAGTCCGAAATCCATCAGCTTTGGCACCAAATTTTGATCCAGCATAACATTCTCCAGCTTTAAATTTCCATGAGCAACACAACTTTGACACTCCAAATGTAGATAGGCAAGACCCCGAGCCACACCAAGAGCAATGTCAAGCCTCTCCTGCAAATGTAGCTCATTTGTATTTCTCTCACTATCAAATAGCCACTTATCTAAAGAACCACATGGTACAAACTCATAGATAAGAAATTTATACTTCTGATCACAACAGAAACCCTTTACAGCAACAAGATTCCGGTGATGAGTTCCACCCAATATAGAAACTGCTGCTCGAAAATCCTTCTCTGATACAACAACATCAATCAGTGATTTTACAATAATGGGAGTTTGGTTGGGAAGTATGCCTTGGAATATAGAGGGGCCAAGTTGAGTTGCAAAGTCTGAAGTCAGCTCCTTTATTTCTTCGAATGATAACCTCACCAGAGCACTGTATTGGGGGTTCTTCCTAGCATCTTTGTCAAAGGGGATTCTTGTTATCGCAGTATCTTTCCGTCTATGATAAACAAACCAAACAAGAATTTCCAATGTGAGAGTCACCAAAGCAGTAGCAAACCCAATCAAACCAAGAGCAGTCACAAATTTATCAGCACTTGCATGGGCAATGATTCTTCCTGATAATAGTGGATTTGCTCTTCCTTCACCTTGAGGATTGGCATTTCGAGCTGAAACTGCCTGAGGAACCAAACAAACCTTCAAGAATGAGACAGCAGCTAAAGAGGGATCATTGTACCCACTAATAAAGCTAGTTCTTTTAACTGTACAAAGGCCTGAACCATCATTTTTGGAGGTTGCAGCTATGCAAGAAGTATCATTAGAGCAATACGCCTTACAATTATTCTCGTTTAACATAACATCAAAGTCATGTGGAGGATAAAGACCATAAAGGACAGTGTGTTTCAAAACCATCATGCTTGTGCGCATTTTACAGTTACTTAAATCCACCAACTTTTTGCAGCCAGAAATACTAAAGTCACTCCCTGTAGAGCCACTACCCCCATCTATGGTACCCTCATGTAGGCAATTACAAACAGGTCCACTGGCATTGAAACCACACAAGCTATACAGTCCACAAGAGCCGAACACGTCACATTGGTTTGCAACTGCTTGCCACCCCACCTTCCACGTCTTAAGCTCATTGAACCATGAGTATATCCTCAAGTTTCCATCAGTATCAATTCTAAGATGCCTCAGACTCACAGAAGAGTCTTGGAAATCTTTGCTTGTTATAGACCAAATGCTTTTGTTAGTAACATCAAAGACTCCCAAAATACCATCAGAACCAAATCTTGCTGCTTTAGTACTAATAGGGGAGGGGGAGCTCAAAGCACCACCACTCTTCCAATAAGTCACATTGCTCTCCCACACCAAAGCAAGCTCACCAGAAGGGCGAATCACAAAATTGTAATAACTCGATATCGATTTTGTGGAAGGCGCTCTAAGAGATTGAGGGAAATGGAAAGATTGGCCAGGAAGTAGACTACTAGTAGGGCTATTAAAACTCTGCCAGACCACTTCATCCTGACTGTTTAGCAAGACTAAATTACCATTATCCAAAAGACTGGCTTTTTGAACACCCAATTCGGAAGTATTGCTGCTCCAGAGAATTAAACCATTGGTATTCTCAAATAATACTAGCCTACCATCCTCAGAAAGCCTAAATGTAGAATTGTCAGATACCCTAAGACCCCCACCCACAGTCCAAACAGGCAAATTAGCTACTTTGTTGCCTAAATTATACCTAATTCCAACATAAACTCCATCATTATTATCATCATTAATACTTGTCAAATATCCACCTTCTAAAAATCCAAATGCAAAAATTCCATTTTGAGAAACCCAAGCAGTAGTTTTATCAAACCCAGAAACCTCAAAACCTAGAGGTATTGAAGCCATACCCACTTCCTCACAAAACCCAGAAATAGTAAAACCCAGCAAGATAAATACATCTAATAATAGAGCCACAGAAGCATATAAACTAACAAAGGACTGAACTTTGGAGCTCTTACCTTGAATATGCTTAATGGGTGTTCCATGGTTGAGCTGGTTTGCCCAGATTGCCAACATTTTCTTCTAATTTACGGTGACAAGAAATTAAGGAAGAAAAAGAAGCAGTTTGATTTTTGACATTTGAAGTTTGAAAAGAAATGAATATCTGGGAAATGAGTTAGCAGAGCAACAAACAAAGTTGACATCCTTTTGAGGTATAAAATGAGAGCTTTTTGAAAACCTTTATTTTATCTTTATTTTGTTACTAAGTGCTCTACTTTTTAAGGGATTGTCGCTCTCAAACACTATGATTTGCATCTTAATCTTAATCTTATGTACTTTTGGTAATTGCTGTAGTAAATAAAGTATTAGTATTATTATTTTTTATTTATTTATTTTACCGGAGTATTAATATTAAGGAAAATGTTATACATAATCCTTAGGGTTATTTATAAACATTAAATATACACTAGAAAATCTTATAAATTTATGAAATCAAAAAAATATAAACACTAATTAAACTGATTTATGCGTGTTTTTATCCTGAATTCCTAATTTTATACAATTTTCAAAGTGTATTTAATACTTATATATAGCATTATCCTAATATTAATTATGTATCTAAAGACTAATTTAAAATCCATAAATGGGCCTGTAAATCACGTGTCAATTGGATCTGCATGGGCCTTATTCCAGTTTGGGTTTTGTCTGAGACAAACCAAAAACACACTAATACATGATCAAACCTACAAAATTCCAAAGCCAACATTTGTACACTTTCTGCAACTATCATTATTATTATAATTTAGACATGGCTTGGCAGGGAAATGATAATGTTATGTGCCTATTCTTTTCTTCTCTCAGTTTTTTTTTTTTAAACATCGTTAGTTAATAAGATTGATGATACAAGTTACACAATATGGTACGGTGGTACCGTTATTTTATTTAGGTAGGACTCGACATGGTTAGAGACTTAAGCACTCCCGTGTTTATTTTATTTATATATTGAAAGATATGTGAGTGAATAAATTGATGGGAAAAAAATGGACATTAATTGTTTATAACAAATCATTAAACAAATATGTATGATCAAGGCTAGTATTGATAAGATACCTAATCATTTCATAACACAGGATTTGAATCTACTACTCAACCTTGCAACCAAAACAATTTTAAACGCAATGATCTACTTGCATTATGATTTGTGATCTTCAATGTTGTCCCATGTTCAAAAGTTTGGACCCTATAGCCCTGCCACATATCTGAGAAATGTGTTTATGCATTTTTTTTTTAATTTTTTTTTTTATTGAGACTAATGCATGTGCAAATTTTTGCTTTCGAGTAGAAATAATTACTTTCTCTTGAAATCAAAATTCCTTTCCAAAAAAAATGTACTATTGTCCAAAAAAATATGCACATAATATATCAATTTTTGCACATTGAGTTTTAAAAGTATATATATATATATATATATATATATATATATATATATATATATATATATATATATATATATATATATATATATATATATATATATATATATATATATATTCAATTCTGATTGTAGTATGTGTGGTAGTATGATGCATGTGTACACATGAGAAATACAATCAGGAAACTTATTAGCTCCCAATAACACTAGTTACAATTTTATTTTATTTTATTTTTTTATTTTATTTTATTTTATTTTTGGTGGAGGAGAGGGGCAAAGCCCCAAAACAAGCAAACAAAATACAAGAAAGGAAAATTAAAACAAATTGGAAAGCAAAGAAAACAAAAAACAAAAGACTAACATCCATGCCATACGGGCACCCTAATTAGAAGAACTTGTTCTTCGGTACCATTCGAGGCAAGATAACACTACCCAAATTCTCCAATTAAACGGTATGAAGATCCCTCGGACCGCCTTCTAGTAACTTTGAAGTTACAATGTTTTGGTATAAAAACAATTTATTTGAAGTTACTACAATATTTATGTCTACAAAGATTGTGGGCCTTCTAGTAACTTTTATGGATCAGCGTTGCATGTGCTAAATAGTAAATACCATGACCACCTTTTCTATGTTTTATGGGCCTTAAACATAGCTTTTGTTTCCAATAGTAAAGAATGATTATTTATTTTAAGACAGTAAGGAATGATTATTAGACGAAAGAAACCAAAGAAATTTTTTAAAAAATTATTTCTTTACACAGTAAAATCAATTCATTAATAAATATTCATATGAAATGTATAAAAAAATTGGATTAAACAAAGAGGTTAGATAAAGGTATTCATAGTTGAAAAGAATGAAGGAATATTCTTGGGAGAACATTTAACAATTTATGGTATTCCTTCCTCAAATCACTCTTGCTTTGATTTATAAACACACAAGTCATATAAACTTGAATACTCTTATCAACCAAAAGAAAAAATAATATATATATATATATATATTATTTTTTATATAAACTTTAAAATGAATGGAATATCGAGTTGACATTAAACAAACAAATAAAATGAGGTGTACATATAATTTTCCAAGATTTCGACGCATCTCAAGACAATTTTATGATGTAGGTGAAGACATTTGGTTTGGCAGTAGTGCAGAAACTACAAACACCTGGGAAAGAATCCTAAGTAAAGATCTACACATGAATCCTCGAAATATAAAAGTCAGATGAATTCACAATTTAAGTATTGAATTTAATTGAATAAATGATTACTCCAAAGTCCAAACACACAAACATAAAAAAAAAAAAAAAAAAAGGTCAGTAGTGGGGAACAATAATCTTCACTTTCCCTCGATATCATATTTAAATTACTGATTACAGTAATATATGGAGGTGGAACCATACAAATACGATACATGCGCAAATAGAAATACTCAAGATTTACTTACATTTACAACTCTGGAGTCTTGAATTTTGTTCCACACTACCATTCCACATTTCCACCAGTCAACACACCTTCTATGCTTTACCATGCATTTTAATCGAAACAACCATCTTTGGTCAACTTCAAATTCATAGATCAAAATCTTTTTAGGAACTACTGCCCTCTAGTCTCTCCGTCTCATTTTACTTGTCTCATTCTATGAGAAATTTCTAGATCAAATGGAATAAGTAAAATGACACAAATTAAAAAAATATTAATGATATGAAAGGTTAAATGTTAACAACAATATTAATTATGCTCTCATTTCTTACTTTCTTACAACTTGCATGAAAGGATTGAAATCCTTAATTACAAGTAACATACGTACTCCATGGTTAAAATGTCGTGTTCATGACTAAAAGCCCCTTAAAGATACAAGTATACGACTAACATAATGCTATCTGAATTCTGAAGACTTATTTTTGGTCTTCAATTATATTTGGTACTTCGTATATGCGATATGGAGTATTAAGGTATGGTACAGTGATGATGACATAACTAATAGAATCAAATTTTATTAAGAAAAATAAAATGTCAAATCATCTGACATAACTACCAATAATAATGTCACATTGTCACTACTCTCTATTCAATAGTTTGATGGCTGTGCAACAAAGCTAGACATTCATGCCTCTTTTTGCAACAACTATGGCTTCCTAGAAGCTAAGAATCATACTTTTTTGCAATTCTTATATTTTCAGTTAGTGGAGGCGTCAAATCAGTCCAGCCACTTATAGTATTAATTTACAGTATAATTGTTTGGTACTAGTACGTCGTATTTTGGTTAACTTGTCATCTTAGTCCGTATATATTCTACTACGGAGTAATAATTATCAATAATCTAAGTACAATAATTGGTACATAAAACACATAATTAATTTAATAAAATAAATGAAGAGAATAAAAAATGAAAACTGAATCCTGGGCTCTCACTAACTCAGTGAATCTTATCCTGTCTAAGTAAGCAAGTGACAACTATATTTGCAATTGCAAGATCTGGAGACCATCACCCTTTGCCCATATTAAGATGAAGCTGAGTTTCTTAGAACTTTCTTTTGGTTTCACTTACATACGTACTACTGTAACATGCTGATTCTATAATATCTTGCAGACTGCAATCCAGTAACTCAGCTCTATCACATTCACCAGGATCGGATATATAAAATTGTGTTTATTTAACCTACATACACTACTACTACATACAGTGTCGATGTACTGTGTATCTCCCTAACTGGGATTGATAGTCGTGTTGATAGGGTAATCTAAAATAGATTGATATATATCAATATATATGCTGGACATACCTTAATCCTTAGAGGGGTAGGTCTAACCGTCTAAGAGTACATAATACTAACCACTCAAATGTTTGGAACAAGACATTCCATGCATTTCAATTGGTGTTTTTTTTTTACTATTATTATTATTATTATTATTTCACCAAAAACATGCATTCTACTCCGATCCGTATCCCCCAAGTTTTAATTGTTCCTTTTTTATTTTTTTTGACCATGACAAAGTTTTGGAAGATAATATTGACTTTGTTATCTTGCACAAATGTCTTACATTAATGCATAGACTTGGGGAATAAGTAAACCACTAAGATCCTAACTAATAATGCAAGACTAGGAATCAAGATATAGATAAACATAAATATGTGTTTTTTCTAAACACGCCAAAACTCCCCCATTGTCTTACGCGATACCTTAATAGTCAGCCTCACTTAATTGAATCATTGTACATGAAACCGTCTAATACAAAAAATTTCTCTCTTTTTCCCTAGTTTTCTGATATTGATGATGTTTATTACTAGAAGGAAACTTCCTAAAACGATACACAACCAATTTGTGTTGCCTAAGTATCAAATGAATATACTCTTTATTATAACAAATATATTGATCATGCTTATATAGGTGATAAAGACCAAAATCTGATGCAGAGCTGACTAAAGGCATCACACACAAATTGACCCGATGATATGCATATTATTATGATTGATAATTTCAAAAGTAGTTGTTGTTGATAATCTTTAATTAAAAATAAATGGCATCACCTAATTGACATAAATGCAACCACTTAAAAACATATTTGTTAAGTTGTTGTAATGCATGAATTAAGTTTAAAACAGAATAAAGATTCTGGTTTTCTGGTGTTTTTGCTTGTACTTGTTAGCGTACTCATGTCTGCAGACCTAAAAACAAGAAACATACATAATGTTGAGAGTAACATTCTCAAAATGCATGAATTGTAGCTCATCAGATATCTAGACTCACATATTTACTTGTCGTATCATTCAATGTGAACACTTCTTCCTTTGTCTTGCTTGTTGCCATGTTCGGTCTCCGGACTTCCCTATGATTAGTACGTACCTTTCTCGCTTTTCTATAAACTATTTATAATAATCAACTTGATTACTTACTAACACAACCTTAATACTCAGGTTACAATAATCATGGGATTTTCGAGTACTCGTTTTCGTAAACTTTGCGCTTTACCCCAAACATTCACCAACCACAAGTCCACAAGGATTTGGTTGACCGAGTTAATTATATGATCAAATAATTAATGTATGGAAATATACAAATAAATCAATTGTATGACAGAAGAAAAGGCAGTAGACACAGAGTAGAAGGACCAAAATTATTCAGGCTTTAGCAACTAGTAGCTCTGGTAAAGTAAAGTAGTATAACCAAACCAAACCCAGCAAATTTATCAATAAAGAATTCATCAAAAAGACCAGGTCTATCCGCGTTCCTGATATTAGTTTCTCCAGCTTGTTTTCACACTAACAAATTAAAATACCTGCTACAGTAATAACTATGGTCAGTTGGTGTTTTATGGTGAGAGATGCCGCAAGTCACACCTAAACAACTTATTACTATGTCACTCTCGATTATAATACAAGTATACGAGTATAATTTACGCAACAACATAACAAGTCACCCCTAAACTAGTTGGCCATACCAAAATGTTGTGGTATGATTGTTATCATTTTACTGTAAAATTTTGCAATATATAGTTAGAGTTACGGATCAATCAATACATGATAACCCTGATTTTCTCAATGGAATTGGCAAAAGGGCAAGGCAACAGAAGCTGAAATTGAATGGCGTTTTGAATGAAAGATTTTATTTTATTTTTTTGATACCAGCACAAGAAAACCAAGATAATTGAGAAAATAATCTTTTGTTTTGTATATTCTTTTCAATTTTTTACATTCTCCACCTGTATAAGTATAGTATCAACCCAATGAATTCTACAAAACTTGTCATTGGGTTCATAGGATGAACTATAATGTGTATAGACTCAAGGTAAAAAATGAAAAGAATGCCTAATGTTATCAATCTACTATCTTCTGTACACAAGGTACAGAAAGAATAAAGAACAAAGAATATTGGTTGGTCAGTGCTACCTCCTAATTTGCTAGTAACAGCTACAATGTACGTTTTCCTCCTTTGCACAGGGGTGACAACTGCATTTGGCAGTGCCCAAGACCTCTTCTTGATACTATGGGTATCGGTGTTGATGACTTTGGAAATGACCCGGTTCCACAACCAGGAGAAAACAATGATTTTGTCAGTGCACAAGCACTCCTTGGAGACAAATTCACTTGCTCTAGAGCTCGGAACTGAAGGCCTGATGGGTAATCCCTCACACACCCAATCCGAGGCCCTGCTCCTGTCGTCCATCTACAAGACAGTTGCTTCCCGAGCTGATATGACTTCATTCCTTTATGAGAATTAATTCTCTGCAGGATTGATTCTGCTGGGATAACTTCTTCTTCCTCCTCTTTTTCTTCAACCAAAATGCCTTGTGATTCCACCTGGTCATCCTGGTCAGAGGCTGATCCTTCTTCCGTAGCTGAATCATAACCATTGTCCCCAATTTGATTATGTACACTAGGTTTTGTGGCCAGATGTTCACTCTGCATGGTTAGAAGCAATTCATCTCTTCTAGGTATTTCAAGATTGATTAATTTTTTATTGAAGCGAACAGAATGATTTCGTCTGGGATGATCAATTGCAACTGCAGTCTCCTGTTCTAATACATCAGGTTTTGCTGCATTACTGCCATCCAGATTGACATTGTTCATTTCAACTGTATTTTCTGCAACCAGTTCTTCTTCAGAGTTGTTTCTCCAGTGGAGACTGCTTCTTTGCTTCACTAGTTTTTGCTCATCCTCATCTACTGGATCAAACTGAACAGACAAATTGAGAACATATTAATACACGTGATATTTGATTATGTTTTAATTCTTATTTCCTTAATGAGATGAAATTGAAAATGCAAAGAATAGAACCATTACCTTAACATCTGTAAGATCAACATCATATTCACTAAGGAAGGATAGAAATTCTTGAAAGTTTTCTGGAGTCGGCCTATAGTGACCGCTGTGAGGCCATACTGCCTGTTCAAGAGCAAAGAGGCTATGCCCATCAGTAACCATGTTTAACAGAAAATATGAAATGTTTAGTAAATTTACAAAGTGCATTTAGATTATGACTGTTACCTTTAACATGCCATTCTCCAAGACTAATCTCCCAGCAGCCAATGTAGCACCTCCAGCGAGGAAGCTAGAGTGCTGAAATGTGCCTTTCTTCTTCTTTCCAACATACAAGTTCTTGGATGTACTCAGCACAAATATCCATTTGGCATTGGGATCAGATGAGGTGTCAAGAAGTTCCCCACTTTCTTTGTGGACGAATTTCCCGTTCTCAATGATAACTTCATAGGCCTTTCTTTCCATCTGAAATAACAAATTTAGTAAGAACGCTGCCTCTATATGATCATATACTTTGCTACTAAAAACTTAGTATAACAAATTAAAAGAAAGCTAAGGGCGCAGACATATTGCTTACCGGGCCAAGATATTTGATGCACTGCTGTTGAAGTTTTATTCTTGAGCATCTCTCTGTACTAACCTCTTTCCCTTCCCCAATATCAAGCCTGTACCAAACAATACGACATCTATCAGAAAACGATAATTTTATCATGGAATAGTGCAGCTATATATGCTAATTCAGTAAATATGCAAAGTATTCAAGTCAATCTTACCAATAAAAGAAGGGTTCTCTGCTCTGAGATTCAAGCCATTTGGTATAATAGAAATGCAGATTATGTCCATAACGATGTCGAGGGTCAATCTGTTGCACAGAAGCGCTACATTAGTATCGAGTTACAAATATTAAAGAGTACAAAGAATCAAGTAATAAGTAGCATGAGACTGACCGCTTCTAACCAATGCTGCAAAGCTAGTTTTTGAGCTTTGCTATTTTTTAACAAACCCTTACCAACCTGCAGTTTCAAACGAAACACTTTGAGATTTTATTCAGGAAGATATAAATTTAATACAAGTGCAGTAAAAAGAAAAATAGAATAGGATCCAGAAGTTGATGTTAGTACCTTGGCAGCTCTAGTTTTTGCTCTAGACCAACGCGAAATGGCAGTCTCATGGTGTTCAACATCGAAAAAGGATATAGAACTACGCTTGAGCTCTGCAAAATCTAACAGCTTCCACCAGCTTTGCTCCACAAGGACAGCACAATCTGCTAGCTTCCTCCTGGTGCGAAAGCTTTTATAGACTTTCTGCAACTTGACAGCAGCCTCGTCTTTGGGACTACCAGAATGCGATTGTGGATACACATCATGGACACTATTCGATTTCAGCAGCTGGGTATCCAAACCCGGAGAATTAGGAATAACTGAGATCAATGTATCAGATTCTCTTTGTTTGAAGCTAAAAGAACCTTCAATAATCATTTTTCCAGAACCCAATGATTTCTTAAGAAGCAAAGGTTCGGAATCATCTCCACCTTTGAAACTAATAGACCTTTCAGGGGTCTTGACTTGATCATCACCCAAACTGACAGATTTGACAATGATGCTTTCGATATCGTCGGAAGTGGCAAACGGACATGAAAGCGAAAATGATATGCCCATCCGACAGTTGTTTCTTATGTTCCAATCCAAGCTTGAATTTCTACAGTATATTTCCTGCTCATATTTTGGATTCAATGAATCAGAATCAGTTTGAAATTATTGTTGTAATATTCCATTATTCATTTATCCTATTTCATTTCATTCCAAAGACACTAAAATTGACCGCTTTGTATAACAGATTTTACGGGGACCTACAAAGTAGAGTACAGATTCGAGGGGTATATAGTCGAGAGTATATGCAGTCAAAAAGCCACCAGCCATGACCTGATGACCCTATGACTTGTACATTCTCAATTTTATTTTTATTCTGGAAAAGACAAACCCACTATTAACCGCTAAAATACAGGAAAATGGATCCAGAAATTCAAACATTCTGGATCAGGAAAATGCATAAGCTATAATTATTCAAGACAGACTAATTGAATTGAAGAATAGAAAGAAGATTTACCTGGAACAGTAACAAATAATTGATTGAATTGAATATGGTTGAAAGAATGGAGATGGGTATAAGCCCGAGTTCTGTGACAGTTAAGGACGCTAAATAAAAGAGGTGGGTAGGAGAAGTATATATAGTGGGGGGAAATGGGATTGGGGTGGAGAAAGAGGGACAGTCAGCAACCACGTGGAGCGGACTTTAAACGTAGAAACAACACCTACACTTTACTCTCTTTTTTTTTTCATGCTAGTCCCAACAGTGTTTTGTGTATTCTTCTTTCTTTCTTTATTTTCCTAATTTTCATTTGTCGGTGTCATTCTTAAATTCTTGTATTTCTCATTTTTAGTACCTTTGCCTCATCAACTCTTGTACTCTGTAGTAACTTAATTTTCAATTCAAATCTTTATATACGTACACGTTTGAGAAATATAATTATAAATTATGGATGTGATATTCAAAAATTGTGATTCAATCTCATCTATATTATTTACCTTAACGGATCTTTCTACATCCCAAAAATTATTCTATTGTTTATATAGAAAGGCTCAAAAGACAAAAGCTAGAGCCTCTCAAAACTAAGGATTGAAATTAAAAAAATGAAAGAGCCAGCTAGATCCAATAAGTCGATCCTACTGTAATTAATAAGGGTTTGTTTGGACCTATATATTTGGGACTGAAGTCATTGATACTCAGTAGTAAATTTTGCTCCAGTCTTGTACGGAGTACCTTCTTCTAATTTTTTATTATTATGTGGAATGTGGAATGTGGAATGTGGAGTGTTAAGTTAATGTATTTCCATCAATGCATGTACGTATAATGCAATGCAAGAGTGAGACCTGCCGCATTAGTTCGTGATTTTGTTATTTACAGTTTGCTCGATTCAACCATTAGAATGTGGTAAAGCCCAATTCACCATATTCAAATGTATGGTCTAGCCAACAAAGTAAACACCACCATATTTTGATTGAAATATTGGGTAATTCTCTAGTTTGTTTTATTTGATAAGAAATATAATTCAACACCCATGTAAAGAAAATCTCTAATCTCATAAGATAGTAAAATAAGATTAACTGGTTATTATTTGATTAAGGTGAAGAGTATAGGAGATAAGCCTCATCCTATAACTAACGTTTTCCTTTTGCTTTTACACCCAATTCATTACTAAATTACATATTCTCTAGTTGGATAGATTAGGCTAGGGCTGAACAAAACTACCCGAAAAATCGAAAACCCGATCCGACAATTAGGGTACCCGATCCGATAATTTGTTATCGAGTATGATTATTGGGTATAATTTAAAAATAAAAGGTTACCCGACCCGATCCGATAATTTGTTATCGAGTATGATTATTGGGTATAATTTAAAAATAAAAGGTTACCCGATCCGATCCGATAAGCAATTTTTTTATTTTTTCCTACTTAAATATATTTATCCAAAATATAAACTCTTACTTTACTTCATAATCACTTAATTATAATATAGATGATTAATAATTTAGTCAAGGTCATGTGGTATTGTTGTTAATTAGTGTTGAATGATATCATAATAACTACATTATTAAGTTTAATTATCATTATTGGATTCTTATTGGGTACCCGATAACCGATCCAAAAGTCCGGGTACCCGAATTTATCGGTTCGATTTATGGATATCACTTTTAGTGATATTGGTTATCGGTCACCCGAACCATTAGTGTTAACGGTAAAGATACCCGACCCATGCTCACACCTAGAATAGATGGTATGTATTTGACTTGTGAAATCAAAACTTGAAATTAGAAATTAAAAATTTACCAAGTCTCATGTTGACCTCGTGTAACATCATAGTCAAGTAAATAGAAGTCATTTGTAGCATGAATTTAGTGGTCAATTCAGAAAAAAAATATTTGTATAAAATATTGTATTTGACCATTTCATAATCCCTTATGTCATTGATTTAATATCTAATGGGGTAAACCAATTCAAGTAAACGATTTCTTAATTAGCTTAACTTGCAAGTTACTACACGTACAAAGAAATTTTCTACTGAATGTTTTTGGGGTTACATGACTAAGCTAGACTAACTACAGCTGAAAATTCACAATTCAACACAAAATTAAACAAAATGATAGCAGAATATCATCAAAACTTTCAAGCATGGGGTCATAAACTTAGAAAAAGACTAATATTCCTTAATTAAAAAATTGACTAGATGATGAGGTATTAGCTAACGTACACAAAAGAGATTAGTAAGTTGATTGTAGATTAGATAGAATGTTGAATACTCCGGTAAAGCGGCAAAAAGGGATTATTGTTGAAACTTCTGGTAATGTTCCTGAGTATAGTGACCCGTACTAAAGGTTGACTTGAATATACTTTTTTAATTTCATTATAACAAATTATATTATCAAACAAAGTTGTAATTGATGCGCTAATGGCAACAAAAAGGCCAGTGTAAAGTGTTAAATGTAGGTGTTTGCATTGTGCGTGGCCCACTCTCCTTGTATCTTAAACTACTCATATCAACAATGAACCATTCAAACTTCGTAAATTGGTGTTTAATTTTATTTATTATGCTTCTACATGCATAGGGGTTAGGGAGATTAGCTAAGCAACACGGTTGTTTTTAGGAACGTATGATATACTTTTTCTTTTGTTTCTTTTAATAAGTGCAACATATAGGGGATGAGCAAAGATATAGAGATAAATTATTTTCATAATAGTGATTTTGCTTATATATTATGCAACTTTCAAATACTCTAAGGAAAATGTAACACTTATTAAAAAAAAAATGAGAAATTAAAAAACTCATAGGATTGTACATAAGCATATTATATATTTTAAACGAACTACATATGGATATTAATTTTTAATATATGTAACAAATCACTAGCTACACAAATTAATCGATTAGTGTTAAACATGTTAAGTTAACTCAGGTCAACACTTGTGAGTATAGGGGCAGGTAAGTGCAGTGAATCTCACTCCCAAGCAAAATATAGCTAGTGAAGTTCGAACTTGTGACATCAAAGTCATAAGATTAGTTTCCCCTAACTCGGATTTACCAAGCTAGCTTGTTGGTTATACATTGAGCATAAATATATACTAAGAACTTTGATAGTTCAAGCAACAGCAGAAAAATAGAAAATTTAGAGGTAGAGAAATTTTGTTACTATTTCATTAATTTTCCTTAATCTAAAAGACTGCCATTACAAACCCTTGATATATATACTACTAGAGCTGGCCAACCCTAGAGCTGTGATCTACCACCTTTCCTGAATAGCTCGTACAAGAAGACAAACAACTGACCAGCTGTGAAAGCCGCCAAAAACTGACTGGCATACAAGGTAAATTAAGGAATAAAAACATGACAAGAGAAAATAAGAAAAAACATAATAAATAAGGAAAAGACACTACAACTTTCATTAGTCGATCCTTCATACTTCAATACATACATTATTCAATTTAACACACAATATATATACTCCCCATGTACACATTCAAATCTAAGGCCATGCATTATCAAGATAACCACATATAAACAATGTACATGTATAGTACATCTCTAGACCCAATAACATTGGTAACGTATGTTAACATATGACATGAATGAATGATAGCCGATCAAAAATAATTATCACATGAGAAGTACTTAATTTATAAAAGATACTCGTACAAAAATAGAATACAAGTACGTAGTGTACCATAAGCAGGAGGTGAATTACAATTACTACTAGTAGTGATATCGATCTAAGATGACACGTACGCATTGCATGCACGAGAGGTGACCATGACCGTACCAGCGCGTAATGCCAGATAAGTGGTGCAGTACAATCTCTTTTTAATAACCAAACAAATTAAACCACCGTCGAAACCATTTTTGGTCGGAAAGTAATATGAATTCCACAGTTTTAAGTTAGTTACTAGTCTTATTACTACTACTAGGACTTTCATTCAGTTCTTCAACTTGCCTTGTTTCACACATTATTATACTCCGACTAGTCGACTACACTCTTTTATCACATTTTTTTAGTTCTTACTTTGACATTTCATACGTTTTTATACTTTTTTTTTTTTTTTGTTGATTAATAAGTGTGTATGTATGATTTTAATCTTTAATAATTCAACTATACAATTATATATTACATAAACCGACACCCACCACTGCACCTTAGCTAAATCATCAATCATTATTTCAATATATTTGGCATCAACTAATTAAAATACACTCAAACTGTATATTCATTATTTTCTTTCAATATCTTTTCAAAAGTAATACGTACCAATTATCATCCACTTACATTATTTTTTTTTTCTATATTGGGTACTAGCAATTAAAAATACTAAAATATGAGAGGTTTGAGATTATTGGAATATATGTAGATACTAATTTTGTACGCACAAGGTTATGGAACGACTTATCCTTGCAGGGTGTTTTGCATTGTATATAACCATAAGCAATTAGAGATTACAAACAACACATGCACTTAATTACATTTACATTTAAGTCCCAAGTTGCATGGTGATAAGTTTGTGCAACCATTACAAGAATTCTTCCCCTACTATAGATAGATCTAAGAAACTAAGAAAGTCATATACGCAATTAATATTAATGCAATTTTATCCCAACTTTTGATTAATACTTTCTAAAATTTTAACCAGCTAAACTATTTAGCAATCACTAACAATACAAAAATATAATAGCATTGTCGTGGTATATATTACGAACATCATTATGTATCAAGTAGTACATATATATCGAAAAGGGTGTTCGATCTACTAACTTTGTAATGGATATCACTTTATAAAACCAATAAGATAAAATAATCAATTAAATGGGCCGGCGATAGCCAATAGGCATTGCATGCATCTAATCAATTCAACTCCTAAACTTACTCATTGTGGAACAAGATTACGCAAGCAAAATAGGGTGTTATATTCCACAAAACAGAACAAAATCTGGTGCATATAATTTGATGTCAGTAGTACACTTGTACGTTCAAAATAACGTATTGCAAAGGAGATGAACTAAAACTGGACAGAGTTTATCAACCATAAAGTGTCGTGTTGCCCTGGGTTTAATGTATGAAATTAAACTCATGTACGGAGTAATATATTGTAATACAGCGTATTATGTCTATGCTTCTAGAACTTGACACATGTACTTAATCTTTTGGCTCCCATCATACTTAACACAGCATATACCAAAGAATAAGATCCATTTTATAATTATGTTTTCATGATCTTTTTAGACATCAGAATCTTAACTTGCAACGTAGCCCGGATTTATTTATTGTTATGTTGCTTGATTAATTATTACCGAGTATTTTAGATTAAGTCTAAGTTTTTATATATTGTACTACGTAGCTACGACCTTAACTAAATAAGAATTATTTTCTAAGACAACCACGACACAATTCTAATTAATAACGAATGTATGTATGAAGATATATAGTCATATACGTAAACATGTAGATTAATATTAGTGCCAACATACACCAATTAATGTACGTGGTTGATTTTCATTGGTAAAGCTGTATTAGTACTAAAATAATTATTTATATGATTTGCAATTTGTAAACATTAATTATGGTGTAAACATACACCAATTATGGTGTAAACATTAAATATATCTATCCGCATTATCTGAAGCGATCGATCCATTGATAACTTGGTTACGCACCCTCTTCATCAACCTTAATTGGTTTAAGCTTACAGCCTTCTCTTTTAAGTTAGAGTTAGTATTTTGCAAAATTGAGCAATGAACTGTATCAAATTAATGTTTGAAGCTAAGCTAGATAGACAATATAAAGACCAAGTTGAGGCATAATTGTTATATTTAAAATAAACACGCAGTGCTGTTTAAAATTCAAGTACCACACGATAAACCAAAAAAATAAGTTTAGGAAAACATACTGACCTAAAATTATTAATAGAAAATCAAATAGAAAAAGTAGCTAGCTAGTTACCTTTAATTTTCAGAAAAAGGTATTAACTCCGATCCCCAAACATATGCTAAATAATACCGCACCATGCATTGATACGATGACAATAAATTAAACTTGGCTTAACATAATTTAAGTTGGATGAGGATTCTAACAACCATTAAGACATATACTAAACCTAAGCTATACTAGCTAAAGCATGATATGATATGATATGATTAATGATTGGCAAATACTTGTATTAAACCTAATTAGTAGTTAGGAAGAGCCAGTAAGATGCATGCATTTGGCACGTGCACATATAAGAAATACAAGCATGATGAAACCAGCGCATTTTGATTGTCTAAAACGTAGTAGTAAGTCGATCTAATAAGAGGAAGAAAAAAAAAGGATGATAAAAAAAGTCAAACCGTATAGTACGAAATCGTCCCTACATCCATCATGAATCATGAGAGATCATCAAATCATATGGAACGACCTAGCTGTCTTTGCCATTGCTCATTTATTTTAATTAATGGAATAATAATAGAAAGACTTTCATTTCTCGAGGAAGAAAATGGAGATAAAAATTGAAAAACCAAAGAAAATCAGACAATACACATTCAAGTACAACTGTCATCTCTCGGATCTCCATGCACATAAATAAAGACTCCTAACTTAATTAGAGTAATCAATTTCAAATTAATTATTGATACAAGAGTAGCTAATTAAGACTCTAAGAAGTAGATGAGGATTATGTAAATGGGACCATTAGGGTACATTGTTACCGTACAATTGTGGTTCTATGTTCGCCACGTTTCTTAGGACAATTCACCCACGTTCCCTCCTATGCTTAACCTTGTTCATAGTTCCTACATTATATAGAAAAACCTACTTTATTACTTAGCTTTTGTTTCGGATAAAAATAATGAGACCTTTGGTAAGGTCCTTTTCTGTGGGCTGAAAACTGATCTCGGTTTGAGTGATGACTGAGCCAAGGGTTTCTTGCACAGCAAACACACGTGAACTAGCCTCGGGGGTTTGCCAAGGAAAGGTCCCTCCGATGCCGAAGTCATCACAGTGTTTAGAGAGAGAAAGCTATGCAAGAGAGTTAATAGCTTGAGGCTTAATGTGTGTATGTGTAGAGAGAGAGTGGATTGAAGGCTTTTATACCTTTTCTCAATAGATAAGTGGGTCGTGAATTAAGTGGGCTTGCCACGTTGACCGGACCTTAGCTGACTTGACACCGTTTGGAGAGTTGAACCTTAACCTTGAGCTTTGTGATTAAATCATTTATGAACCGGCCCAATTAAACTAAATTGAACCCAAACAGCTTAGTTCATTCATTAGGTTTAGTTAATCACTACTCCATGCATACTCCGTAGTATTTGGAGAAATTTGATTATTTGAACATTTGACTACACATTATCGACATATGCCAAAGCACGCACTTTAAAACCAGCAAAATACATCTGTCAAATGAGGTCAAACTAATAATCCGATAAGTTAAGTCATACAGAAAATATCGATGAGTTCAACTATAGTACATTTATGTCTACTAGCCTATTGTTTTGAAAGTCGATAAGTAAATAAAAAAAAGTTAGATTAAAAATATACTTGTTATTCATTTAATTATTTAATATGGTAGATGGATAAAAATATACTTGTTATTATTATTATAGGAGGTGGATTTTCAACTACTTTTTTGTTTTTTCTATAAATATATAATAAAAAGAAAAAAAAAAAAGAGGTGCTTAATTGGATCTAATTGTAAAATGAGGTAGCTAGTGCTATAGACGGTATCGCGTTTCCCACAAGGGTAGGATGGTATAGGTATAATAAATGATTAGCTTAAAAGAAAAAAGTCAAAGCATGTTTTAAGGGAGTACTTATTAGTACTAGTTGTACACTTGTACGTCCTTGGTGTTTGTCAGATATTAATACATACGGACTATTCCGTATTCTGCATGCATATACTACTTGCATCTTAATTAATCTTTGAGCGACCAAACTAGGGAGCAGCAGGTCAAATACCATATACAAGTATATTTTTTTAATTATCTTCATCGTTAATCTCCTAATTAGCACCATTATTATTCATCTCCATAATTCTTAGCAGTACAGCAAATTTAATGGCTTTCTTTCCATTATTAATAATGTTTTTTTTAGAGTTCATCTATTAAATAAAGTTTATAATCTACGTAATAGTCTACTTTGGGGCTCTAATGAGTTGTTCTATTTGTATCTTTGTCAACATGTCAACTACAATCTCCATTCTCCAAGACCAAGCTAAACGGAATTTTGATTATACGGAGTAGTATATTGGTTGTGTATATGTATTACTCCTTTTTTGTCTACGTGTTCTAATAGAGTATAAAAACATAGTCTTGGGTCTCAACCATCAGGTTAAGCTTTTGGTTGAGTTGATCCTCTAATATGTTCTTTTGATTTTATTAGTGAATGTTTCGCAAAAAACTCTTAAATATGGAGTATATGAGTAACATCCCACATAAAAGTGTATTTATTCATATATACTAATTGCAAAAAAAATATAGTCAACTTGAATTATGTGCCTTCCAAAAAATAGAATGGAGTTAGTATAGTTTGACACCAAAGTAACCAATTAATAACATAACATAATATTAAAACAGACATCAAGAATAACACGTGTCATTTCTTGGTGCTGTTTTTTCCCTCCAAAACTTTTTTTTATTCACTTCTTAAAAAAATATTACTTTTTTTATAAATGTGATTCACTTCCTTAATTCAACAAATCATATAATTGTGATTCACTTTCTTAAAAAAATATTCACATCAATCATTTCCATATCTTTTATTGTATAAAATATATTCTGTATCTGTTACTTTGTACATCATACAAAATACATATTATTTTATATATTTAAATATGATAGTACTTCATATGTAGTATTTTATACTTACCTTCAAATGTTCAATACAATATATTTTGTATAGTGTATATAGTAATTTTGTAACAAAATTTTTAGAAAAGATGTATATTGTTGTTGTTGTTGTTTATAAAAATAGTGTTAAACTAGATTAGTCTTGATGTGCAATGCACGATTCAAACAAATAATTTCTAAATTTGTTTATTTTTTCATACCAATTTTTTTTTATAAAAAAAAAAAATATCCCAAAACAAATAATACATCAAATATTTTTTTTTAAAAGAATTAGAGCTCATAGAAAAAGTGAATGATGAGAAAAAATTAATTATTGCTGTTTGAGAGAATAGAGTGTTTTTCGAAATTGATACTAATAATAATAATATAGTTGGCCAGAATTTTAATAAAAAAATAAAAATCATAAAATAATGACATCATTTATAGTTTTGAAGGGAAAAATTTTAATGCCAACATGACATATGTCTAATTTTAGGATAAAATGATGTCAGCGGTTGCTATTTTAGTGCCTAATTCTATAACAAAATGAAGTTGTTAAACCAGCGCAGTTACTCTACCAATAACTTTAATTTGATTTTGTACAAAAGGTGTATTGTTACTTTTATTTTTAGATAAATCACGTAATACTCCCTTGCTAGCTCCATCCGTTAAAGGTTATTGTCCCATTTTTCTTACTAGGTGTTGCACAACTATAATGGCTATATTTTGAGATGCATCGCCTCCAATTCCCTTAATTGCCACAAACGCGCCATTTTCCCACCCTCTTATCACAGCCACTCCATGCCACCTACTAACGAGGCAACGAGCCACCATCCACTGCACCAAGCCATCAACTCACCAATTTCTTTCATATGGTTAACAATAACATTACCCAATAATTCTCTTCTATTGAGCTTGAGAAACCCTATATATTTAAAAGACTAGATAAATTTGGCCATCAACATGCATTGATATATACTTAAAAGAAATAAATGGATTCATGTGTGACCTTGTTAAATCGATCTATTTTGTTACATTGTTTTAGCAAATCAGACTTTCATAATTTAATTAAAAAATAGTTAATTAAAGATATAGTTGCTCAAAGTTTCTTTAAAAGTATGAAAAATGAGTAAATAGAGCAAACATTAATGTCATCAAGGAACATAAGGAGCAATAGTTTACTGAGTGTTGAATTTATTAATGAAACAATATTTGTAGAGCATTGGATTATTACTATGATTAGTATAATTATATAAGTGGACATTTGACATTTCCCACAATTGATCATTTAAAACTATTTATGGACAAGAAGTGCATTTAATCATTTAATATATGTTCTTTCTAATGGTCTTTGTGTATGGTTAGAAGAATACCATTAGGCTTTGCATGGGGTTGTTCGTTCTGACATTGAACTCTTGGAGTAATTAATAAATGACATTTAATCATTTATTATATGTTTTTCCATGGATTGTTTGATTTATGTTGTCATTCAAACAATTTGTTTGAATAAAAGGCCGGATATGAAAGGATCACAACATTACTTACTAGTATAATAATTTTAGCTAAAACTTACTTTAGCTTGTATTTGCTCCGCATAATTTTAGCTTGATTAATTTTTGCCGAACAAGCCAAGGAGAACAAACGACTTATACTAAGTTGTTAAATTATGAAATTTGGAAGCATAAGCACATTAAACTTGGATAATGCAATAGCCACAATCTAAAATAGGAGAACGACATGGCCTTGGATTGTTTTCGATAGAGTTGCAAATCAACCAATCAAATGAATTATCCAAAACTCCCTCTCTCTCCTCACCTCTCTTCCAAAATCATCTCACAATTTCACTGTAAATCCCTCTCTTCCCCCTTCTCCAATTCACAAAATCATGGTAATTACCCTCTCATCTTCTCCGCCAATACCCTCTTTCTGCGGCCTCAAAACCCTTTTCAGTTCCAATCCTAGATCACTCTCCAAACCCAGAACCCGATTAAACTTCCTCAAACCCAAGCAAGATAAAGGATTGAACTTGCAGAGAAATCATAATTATAATACTAATTTTGGTAGAGAATCAAGGAGTTACAGGTGTAATTTATCTGGGTTTGATTTGGGTGGCTTAGAAGGTCCTCAATCAGTAATTGAAGCAGCTGGTGTTCTTACTGCAATCATTGTTGTTCATGAAAGTGGTCATTTTTTGGCAGCCTATCTTCAGGGAATTCATGTAAGTAAATTTGCAGTCGGGTTTGGTCCAATTTTAGCTAAATTTAATGCTAATAATGTAGAATACTCTCTTAGAGCTTTTCCTCTTGGTGGTTTTGTGGGTTTTCCTGATAATGATCCTGACAGTGATATACCTGTTGATGATGTTAATTTGCTGAAAAACAGACCCATTTTTGATCGGATTTTAGTGGTTTCTGCTGGTGTTATTGCCAACATTGTCTTTGCTTTTATCATCATTTTTGTGCAAATTGTGTCTGTTGGTTTGCCTGTTCAAGAAGCCTTTCCTGGTGTACTTGTTCCTGATGTACGCCCTTTTTCGGCAGCTTCTCGAGACGGGTTGCTGCCCGGAGATGTTATTCTGTCTGTTAATGGCTTCGAATTGTCGAAAACCGGCCCTAAGACTGTTACTGAAGTTGTTGATGTTATTAAAACTAGTCCTAGGAAGTATGTTCTGCTTGGAATTCATAGAGGAGGAGCTGAACCAGGAGGACAGGATTTTGCTATTAAGGTGACACCTGATGAAAGTTATGATGGAACTGGTAAAATTGGAGTTCAGCTATCTCCTAATGTCAGTATTAGAAAGGTTAAGCCTGATAATATTGTTCAGGCTTTCAATTTCACTGGAAAAGAGTTTTGGGGTCTAACCTCAAATGTGTTGGACAGTTTAAAACAGACGTTCCTGAACTTTTCGCAATCAGCTGAAAAAGTTTCAGGTCCAGTTGCAATAATCGCAGTTGGGGCAGAAGTAGCAAGGTCCAACATTGATGGACTTTACCAATTCGCAGCAATTTTGAACATAAATTTGGCAGTGATAAATCTGCTCCCACTGCCAGCATTAGATGGGGGTACATTGGCATTGATACTGATAGAGGCAGCCAGAGGAGGAAAGAAGCTTCCTTTGGAAGTGGAGCAGCAGATTATGTCTTCAGGTATAACATTAGTCTTATTTCTTGGGGTGTATCTTATAATCCGAGACACTCTAAACCTCGACTTTTTCAAAGAAATGTTGTGACGGGAATGTTAGTACCCCAAATTCAGTTGTTTGATTCACTCATAGTGCAGTGACTATTGTGATAGTCAATTTATCATCCAACAGACCAACACAATAGATTGTATCTCATTGATTAGATATTGGGCCTGTGATTACATTAAAAAGATAACGACGGTTCGTCGGTTCCACCAGATTGTTTGTCATCATCACAGTTCACAAGATTGATTATGAGTCACTGTAAGCAATGAAGAGTTATGGCCTTCAATATCCCCTGTTTATTTTTACAATAGAGAACTTGAGTTTATTGTTTAACAACTCCCAATTTTATACTGTGTTGTAATTGTCATACCAATTTGTATCTAGCAAATTAGAATGTTTTTAAAAGTTATTAATACTTCTGTAATGGGAGGTCATATACTCATATAGCTTGAACAGGTCAGGCCATGCAGCCCTCAAAAATTTATATTGAAAGACTTCATATATGGTAGTTATAGATGTTTTTGTTGCTGCTGAATTATATCTCTTACTTATCCTTGCTGATTAATATTGTTGTTAAATAATGAGTGCGCTGACATCTACATACCTAATGTAGCAACTAATTTATTACAAAAGAGTATTGCTAAGAATTGATTCATGACAGTGAGTTACTGAGTACTTTCATCAGAAAGTTTGAAAATAGCATAATTATAATTTTGATAGTATTGGATAAAATCATGTGATATTAAATAGCTCTTCATCCTTTTGAACCGTTAAACCCCTTTACTCCCTGTGATGAAGCGCTATGTACTGTTAGTTCTTAGTCTTCTGACTCAGACCACATTGTCTAATGCGCCTTTTGCCCTTAGCATAATTATAATTTTGATAGTATTGGATAAAATCATGTGAAATTAATTAGCTCTTGAAGTCTTGATCCTTAATCCCTATTACTAGTGAAGTGGAGTTCTTGATCCTTAGTCTTCTTATTCAATTTGCACTGTCTAATGCGCTTTTTTTTTGCCTTTGTCCCTAATTCTCTTCTTCCTCTCCCTCTCGTTTCTTTTCTCCCCAGCCACCACACCACACCACTGTTACACATGGAAAGAATATACAACTCATATTTTCCGTTTGTGAGAGCTAATGTCTCTTACTATTTTGGTGAGTACTTCCCACACCACATCAATTTTGTGGAAGCTCCCTTAACTTACCCATTTCTCTATAAGATTTTTCCATTTACTATAAAGTCTAGATTTGCAACTAAAAAGAAATGGAGGTGGAAGTACAGATAATTAGAATTGCAAATAATATCTTTTGTTGCAACTAACTAAGAACGGATATAGTAGTTTTTTCTAAATTTTTATATACACATCGCGCCACTCACCACCACCCCATCGATCCACTCATGTCTTTTAGCTCTTTATCTTATCTCTCTTACTATTTGTTCTATCTTTCAAGACCAACTAACAATCACCCACTTACCAAAAAACATGGCTTTTTCTCTCTAAAGGGACTAGAATTCCCAAAATGCGGAACCCCTTCTTCCATTTCCCACAAAACAAACAGAACATAAGAGTAACATCATTTGAACAACGGACCACAAACTCACAAAGTACATGGAGCTTAAAATCATTAAAGGGATGTTTGATTAGTGTTTTAGAATTGGTGTGAATCTAATACTTTCTGTGTGTTTAAGTTTTGGTGTTTGAATTAAAAAAAAGCAATTAAACAATAATTGATACTTTTACTTGAAGGGGTCCTAGTAAACTTTTAGTTGAAAACTAAATGCGAAAAGGTCCAATTGAATTTATCATAATTGAGACACAATCTTAAAGTAGTACTTGGAATCTCATTATAGAAAAGATGATCTATGAACAGAAATGATATGGAGTTGAAAACTTGAAATCATAGTCCTATTAGACCGACCGTACGAAAAGGAAGATATTAGTGGGGACATGAACATCGAGAGGTGCATCTTTAGTGACCCCCCAACATGAGCATCGCCACCGTCCATTAAATATTTTGAGACGAAGGCAAGACTTTGATGGACGGTAGAGATGTATGTATGTATATAAGATTAAAATATTTGATGAGAAATTGAAGAGCAGAGCAAGTGCAGTTGCAGGGCAACAGCTCATACTACATTACTACTAGCTTGCTCCACTCTAAAACATAAATGGCCTTTTTAATGTGTTTGCTACAAACTTAACATCACATCATCATATCATGTCATTTTCACGCGTTACGTTGCTATCCCCATACCCACAATTACAATTTTAATTCAATTTCTGTTTCTGTTCCTATGTACGGTAATCTTTTAACTTTTTAATAATAAAAATTGTTCGTTAATTAGATTCCAAATGTAGATACATCGGGTTCTAGGTTTCTCATTAAGCTAGACAGGTAGTAATCAAATCTCGTGACATTACATAGTACGAAGTCATACAAAATACGAGCACAATATAATATTATATTGAATTGGTCGGTATTGTAATTAAGAAAAATTAACCACTCAGTAATAAAATAGAAACTTAGTACTTTTAAGATACGTATGACAATTATATGAGCCGATGTTGATGATAGAGAGAGTGAGAAACAATACACCCAAAAAAAAAATTGTTTGTTGTATAAATGAATACCAATACATTAAACTAGAATATTTGAATTAGAGCTAATCACTTGGCATGTTCGGGCAATGCAGTAACGCACCGCTAGTCAGCATGTTCAAACAAAAACAACTAACATCTCCATTATTATTATTAAGAAGAACAAAACAAACAAAAAATAAATAAAAGAGAAGATCGAGGTCGGTATAATACTCGGTCGTAAGATTGGACAAGCATGTAAATCAATAGTAGATAAAGTTAAGCATCAAAATCAAAGGTTGAAGATTGAAAGGGCGTCGGTTTTTGCCTTTTTGGTGGGTTGTTGTTGTCGTCAAGTAAAGCACAATACTCCAGCTGTTAAGCTAAGCTAAGAACACTACTATAAGTACTGTACTAGTAGGAGATCGATTACATGTCCAGCTTTGACTGAATCTTTGCATCATCACTAATTACTACGAGTAGACTATAAATCTTTGTTTGTCTACCAATAAGTCAACACCGTCTTACAAACAATAATATCCAACAACAATATCTCCGACGTTCCCACGTCAAAGGCACCAATAATACTGGCATACTGCCTTTGAAAAACTTTACCTTTGGGGACTAGAAAAAGTTTAATCAAAAAGCTCCACTTTTGATTTAAAATTCACTAAGTATGTCAATTTTCATTTTTTTTAAACGATAAGTATATTTGATTATATAAACATATTTTTAAAACGAAAAGGTCTTTATAATATGGATGTACTCTCTCTATTTCTTTTTAGGTTTTGGAAGAGTTTTCATGGCTAAAATCAAGAAGAAATGAACAAACCAATGATATACGTAGTATTTGAATGGTCTTATCTTGAAAATTTGAGAACATTGGCTTTACATGGATATTTTGGCGTAATCATGGTGCTAAATTCTATTAATATAGGAGTTGTGTCCCTAATATGTACACATCGCTCACGCTAATACACTTATCTTTGCCATTTCCACTTCGATAATAGACTATTTTAAGTTTATGTAATGTAGCTTTACCGTCTAATAAACAGAATTATGGTTTGACATCCTTTTTGTTTGTCATTATATTCAAACTGCAATTACCCAAATAAATAGATCATCCATCCACACATCGACACACACAGAGCTTTGAGCTAGATTGTTCAGATCATATTCATGCTAACTCACTATGTTTGTGTATATGGATTTTGTTGGATCGTTCATACTTTATAGGCTAAGTCAATTTGTAAATGACTCTTTACACACATACATTCTCACACAAAAATGTTATAGGAGGTTTAGTGGGACTTCAAATGCCAAGCCAAACAAAATTTCCTCCTTCCTTATTCATTTTCAGATATTTGGTAACAAAAAAATCAATTCTTTTTCAAAACAATTTATTAATGTTAAAATTGTAATCAACATCTATGTCTACACATTTCATGTCCCTTATTCTAAACCTTAACCATCTCCTAGACTCCAACTCACCCAAAAAATAGGAAAAGCACTAAATATATTGGGCTAAGGCCCAAACATTTACCGCCGAATCAGGCCCAAACGTTAAAAAAAATGTGACCCGCAATAAAGGCCCTAGAGTGCTGAGGTTGCCGCATACATTTGCAAGCAAATACTCTCTGCTCGTATTATCTCTCTTCGCTCCACTTGAATCTTCAGCAGACCTCCATTACTCTCTACTCTCTCTATCCAAATTCCTTCCTCAGGTACTTTTTTTTTGGTTGTTTTTGTTAATTTCATCTATTCAATTGTTTTGTTTCTTCTTTTTTATTTGCTGTTTAATATAATTCCTCTCTCATATTAATTTTAAACGATTAGGTTAATTGAGATACAAATTCAACTTGAACCTTATATTCAAACTCAAATTTGAATTTTTGAGAAGATTGATTGATTTATTTCTTGTGTTTGCTCTAAATTTCTTTGAAATTGGATGATTTTTTTTTTTTTTTTTTTGCTTTGTTAGGTTATTTTCCCATTTCAGCAGATTAGGGTTTCAAGTTGATTCAGTTAATATTATGATTTGTTGCCTTTTGTTGTTTGAATGTTTAATACTGGTACTGTATACAAGTAGACTAAGAGCTTTCCATTGTTTATCTAGAGTCTGATTGTGATTATGAGGGGAAGAAGCTACAGTCCTTCTCCCCCTAGAGGTGGCTACTCCAGAAGAGGACACAGCCCCCCTCCCAGGGGTCGCTATTCCGGCCGTGGTAGAGATCCTTCTACTAGTTTATTAGTTCGGAATCTCCGCCACGATTGCAGGTTTTCTCGCAAACCAATTATTTCTTGTTAATGCTTTTGCTGCTTACCAATGTTGGTTCTGGTTTAGATTTGCCTTTTATAGTTTCAACTTTTATGGACTGCTCTACATTATTCAAGCACCTGTTTCTTTTGTATCATTTTGTACCTTATATCTTCAATCTTTATTTTGATAAACTTATGGTATATAGGAGATTGTTGTTTAAAGTTGTTCTGATATCGCCGATTCTTGTAGTTGCTCACTACATTTTGGTTCCTCTGCAGACCAGAAGATCTCCGCAGGCCATTTGGTCAGTTTGGTCCGCTCAAGGACATTTACTTGCCTAGGGATTATTACACCGGGTAAGTTCATAGCTACTCTTTTCACATAATAAACCCAGTAAAGCTCCTCAATGAGTACCTTTATGATAATGTTGGGGGGTGCTTTCATATGGAATCTGTGTGCTTGGTTTAACATATGGAGCAGTTCCATTGGTGGATATTTTGTCTGTTCAACATTTAAGCCAGTTTAATAACATAATTTAGACTTGCCTATGAAGTAGCTTAACAAAAGATTTTCTTTACTGAATAAATATTTATCAATCCAGTGAGCTTTTATACAGACCATGGTAGATGATCATAAATTACACGGTTCTGAGTCTTGACTCTATTTTTCCCCCTTGTTTGGAATATATTGCTTTGGTTA